CATTCTTTAACTGATATTATTAGAATTGTTTATTATGAAATATGATCGTAGTAGAGTATTATAATATTCTCTATCTTCCGTAATTATTCCAGTGTCAGCAGGAAGCTCGAACTATCTTGTTACTTCAACAAAGTATCAAGTTACTAATATGTTAGATTACTTCTGTATACAAAGACATTCATAAATAGCTCATAAAAATCATACGCTTTTTACTCACGTACTGCACATACTTTTTATTTAAGAATTATATAACAGTATGAGCACATAGTCATGCATGAGAATAATTTTTAATATAATAAAAGAAATTCGAACGTCCTTGTTCTTCAATGATTTATAGCTCACGAATACAGAGCGATAACGAAGTGTGGCTTTTACTACGACACAGAAGAGACTTTGTCGCACATATTTATATAAGATAAAAAACCCTACTGCGTCAGTTTTAGCTTCCATCCATACACCTCCGAGGAAGTGACTAAAATATTTCTCACCCTCATCATTTCCGTAGGAGGGGGTGCGGCGAAAATGACTTGAAATATTCTTTTTAAAGTGTCGATAATACCCAATACTCATACGAAATCTTAAGTGTTAACCCTTTTAGGACTAGTTTTGCTTTCACGATCAGTGTGTTATTCTTAAACTATCTTTTTGACCGCGACTCAAAAAAAAATGTTTTTTTTTAAAAAGCCTGGACCCTCTCCAGGCTAGGTGGTACATATGTTGTACCACCATCCTGAAGGAGTTAAAGAGATTTCGCCCATAGGTTGAATCATAGGTCTCAAAAGGTTAAATGACCCCTATTAGCTAGATGAAATTTTGTTATGTTTACACATTTTCTATTGTATCAACTAGACATTCCAATGGAAACAATGTATATTATATATTGACCTATCGAGATAATAGATCATTATCAGAGAAAAAAGACGTTCTGATTCAACCTCTTTTCTAAACAAATTTTATTTATTTTTATAGAAGCTCAAATTCGTCTAGTAAATTATTGTTGTACACTTTTATATAAATCTGTTTTGGAAGAAGATGATGATCAAAAACATCATGAACGTTTACGTGAAATAAAAATCAATCATATTATATATGCTGAAGAACATGGAATTATCCATTCATTAGCATCTGGTATATTAATATTTTTAAGTGTTGTTCGATGTCGAAAAGAAATTGGAAAATTTTATCGTGAAAATGAACATTTTCGAGAATTATTAAATATAATGAA